GCGGCCGGAGCCTCGAGGCGGCCCACGTCGTCCTCTGCACCGGCGCCTTCACGCCCAAGCTGCTGGAGGTGAGCGCCGCGGCGAGCGGCCTCGACGCCCTGCAGGCCGGCTCGAGGATCTTGGCTGGCGGCATCACCACGGGCATGACGCGGCTGGACGATGAGTCGTACGCAAAGTTTGCGGATATGCCGGTCGGCATTCAGGGATACACGACGCTCAAAGGTAACAATGTGACTGCACCGTGTCCCCTTTACCGCTGTTGTTATATGTCTTGAGCAAAAAGGCTGACTAGTTGATGGTTCCAGCTCCCTTTATGGGAAGCCTGCCGCCCACCAAGGACAGGGAGCTCAAGTGGTGGGGGCAAAAGATCTTCAAGAACACCAAGGAGGTCCTTCCCGGGCGCTTCATCTCGATGCCGCCCGCGGAAGCCGACTATGCGCAGTGGAAGATATCCGAACGGCTCAAGGAGGACATTCTCAACGTGAGCAGCGCCTTCTACGGAAGCCAAGCTGCCAAGTGGAAGTTTGAAAAGCACCGCATCTGCTGGTAAGTCGGTTGCTGCCGTGTTTACTGGTGGCCCTCGGCAAACTGACCATCTACATGTAGGGATGCCTTCACCACCAGCTCCGACTTCATCATCTCGCCGCACACGGCGGCCAAGGGACTCTACGTGGCGACGTGCGGCTCGTTCCACGGGTACAAGTTCTTCCCCGTGATTGGGAAATACGTGGTGGACATGTTGGAGGACTCGCTCCCGGCCCAGCTGGCGAACAAATGGGCGTGGGACCGCGAAAGGCCCGACCCGTCCGTCAACCCCGACTGGCCGAGCTTCGAGATGAAGGACTTGCTGGATCCTGTGAGGGAGTCGAGGCTTTAAACTGCCGCGCAGACACGTCGAGTGTTTCCATCACATGAGCTGTTGCCGCAGCGGAGGCAGGGACTTGGGGGAACTTTTGGTCTCGGCAATACTATATGGCGCAATACATACATTAATATACGTGCATTCCATGTTTCTGACTGGAGGCTTGCTTCTAGTTTCCCGTCTGGGACGTATACTAGAGTGATTACGTGACTGGCCGTCTCGAGCTGGACCGTGGTAAAATCGCGCGGCGTTGATACGAGTCTTTACACCTGCCTTGAAAGTCGTCGATGGCGCCTTGCCAAGCCGAGCACTTGAGGGTATATGGAGACTTGGGCACACGTCTAGACTGATTATCTTGGGGCAGAACCTATAAGCTGTGGGTTGGCGCTCTTGCAATTTATGGTTATCGCCGTGAAAGGAAGGTTATTCAGGCGCAGCGGCTCCGCCGGGATCCGCCGCCGCGGGTTCCATTGTGAATGCTACCTTGTTTGATGGTGTAATCCAGCGAGTTTCCAAGAATAGACAACTGCCACAGTTGGAACTTGGACTTGGGAGCGACTCTGCGGCGTGACCATGGTTGATAACTGGCTACAACTCAAGTCACGGGGCGCATAGGTGCTTGTAGACGGCAACCGTCAACCCAGAGTCCAAGACAAGTCGACGTTTGCAAGTGAGAATTACACCAGACCAGACCAGACATGTACATGTAAGCATTTTACGCGCTACCCATTCCCCACATCCTCCCCGCCGTCCGTCTGAATGGCTGCTAATCGCCAACTACTTGGTAGGCGGCGCCGATCCGAGGCCCAGCAACACGAGGTGCTGCAAAGCCAATCATGTCTGCATCGGCGCTTGACAAAGTCCAGAAGGAGACACATGCCAAATTCGGACATGATCGACCGTTTCCACTGGCCGCGTGCGCAACCAGCGTTCTTGGTCAAAGACGGCGCGCGATCCATGGACGCCATTGGCCCCCGTGCCCAAGGGATGCCGGCCTGCCCAGGACCGAATCACAACTCGCGTCCGCCCTCGAACCTGCCTCTTCGGATCTGCCAAGAACGGCCACCATGGCCCGCTGGCATGTTATCGTCAAGTCGCCAGCCCTCGGCGCTGCGACCTCGACCATTGACGCCGTGGAGCGTCCATGTCGTACCAGACCAGACCCCTTCGGCCATGTCCCGTCCGCTGCGACTCTGGCTCGTGACTGGCCTCGCCCAGATTCGCGACTGTGCGCTCGCGAGCTTTAAGCTTCTTTTACGCAAGATCGGCAATCTCTAGCACGGGCTTTGACCCTGATGGATCGTCTGTGATTGCCCGTGTCATCGCCTCCAACATTGAACCCATCAACTCGATAGAATCGGCAGGTGACGGTGTATATCCGGTGCGCGTGTAAAGTGAAGCAAGTCTGCGTATAAATACCGGCAAAGCCTCTCACGATATTGGCCTTTTTTTTTTTCGTCTTCATCCCATCAGAGCAGTTCGACTCTTACTTCTTACACAGTACAGCATCTTCGGTCCCGCCTACAACATGGCCTCCAAGGCAGCTCTCGCGATTGCCAGCGCAATCTTTGCCGTCCAGTCGGCGACGGCCGCGCCGGCCAAGAATGGCAAGTTCATCGTCGGCGGAGAGGCTGCCGCCCAGGGCGAGTTCCCCTACATCGTGGCCCTGCTGTCGGGCAATTTCCAATTCTGCGGCGGCACCCTGGTCAACGAGGACACTGTCGTCACCGCGGGCCACTGCACCAGCTCAGACGTTTCGGGAATCGAAGTCCGCGCCGGATCACTGGTGAGTTGTAGTTGTCCGGGACGCACATCTCACGACTAACACGACGGCTTTTGCGCCCTGTAGGCCTGGGCATCTGGCGGCACCAAGGTCAAGGTGCGCTCGGCCACCCGTCACCCCGATTACAACGGCAACAACTACGACAATGACGTTGCCGTCTGGAAGCTGGCCACGGCGATTCCTCAAAGCGCCACCATCAAATACGCCAAGCTGCCTGCGCCGGACTCCGACCCTGCGCCCGGCGCCAACGTCACCGTTGCCGGCTGGTACGTACACATACACAAGCGCCACATTGATGAAGCTCCCGAGCCGAGCCCAGTTCTGACTTTTGAGTTTAGGGGCCGTTTGCAGGAAGGCGGCGCAACGCCCTCCCAGCTGCAAAAGGTGACGGTTCCCGTCGTGGACCGCGCCACCTGCAAAGAGGCCTACAGCACGCCCACGCCGCTGGAGATCACGGACAACATGTTTTGCGCGGGCCTGCCCCAGGGCGGCCAGGATGCGTGCCAGGGAGACAGCGGCGGCCCCATTGTCCAGGGCGATGTTTTGCTCGGCGTCGTTTCGTGGGGCGTCGGCTGCGCCCGGCCCAACAAGTACGGTGTTTACACCAGGCTGGGCAACTATGTCAGCTTTATCGAGCAGTACCTGTAGACGCCCGTCGTGGCAGGACATGAGCATGGTGCATGGTTGAGAAATGAGCTTCAGCCGAAATCATTTGCCTTCTCTCACACTATGAAATGGGCTCTCCCGTTGGCACAAATCATAGCATATTGACTTTGTCACATTGAATATATTGGCATGAACAAGCAGTCGTCTACAGCTTCGTCTTGGCATCGAGAAAGAACAGGTTCCGCCCGTCCTCGCCCGTCCGCACGCTTCCCGTCTTTCCCACGTGTTCTGCAGCCGTCATCGCCAGCTGAGACAAGGTCTGCTCGTCGCCGTGGTTGGCGAGGAACCGCCTGCCCGTCCCTCGTAGTCTGCCGACAATGAGGCCTAGTCCCGGCGTGCCATCCCGGTTGTACTCGATGGTATAAGTCTAGAACGACGTCAGCCCGTGTCCATGCGGCCTCGGCTCCCAACGCTCACCTCGATCGTGGCCGTGCCGTCTGCTGCTTCAACAAACGGCGGGCTGTATCCGTCGACAACTTCCGGCAACGGGTTGCTCGTCGGATACGCCTGCCCGTCTCCCCTGGGCCGGGCCGACAAGCACAAGGCATGCTGGTGCGTCAGCATGCCGCCGTTGGCGAGAATGAGACCAGTGCCGTGCCTCTTGGCTCGCAGTTCCCGGGCCATGGCGGTGATGGCCTTTGCCACGTTAATACAGTGCGGTGGCCTGCGCGGACGCGTGCGACGGGGGACTTACGTGCATGGAGTAGTTGTTTCCGGCGCCGCCGAACGAGGTCAAGCCCCCTAGCAGCGTGATGGGCTTCTGCCACGATGTGGTAGACAGGCCAACGTGGTCGCAGGCAAGCTTGGGCACAATGGGAAAACACCTGGCATGGCTGTGTCAGTGGCGGCGACTCCTACATGCAATTGAGGCGGCTGTGTACGTACGAGTAAAAGTCGTAGCAGTCCACATCGCTCGCCGAGAGGCCCGAAACATGCAGCGCGGCATCGATGGACTTTGTGATGGCTTCGCTGTGGTGCAGATGCCGCCGTTCCCAAACTGGCGAGGGATGCAGTTAGCATCCAGCGATCAACGACTCAACGGGCTACGTGTGCGCTCACAATTGTCCTTTTCGTGCGTGCCCGCGCCGCCCAAGACATAAATCCACCTGTCTTGGGGAATACCAAGCTTCTTTGCGTGTTCCGTCGAGGTGAGGATGCAGGCCGCTGACAAGTTGACGCCGTTGAAGGCATTCATCAGCAGGGGATCTGGTCAAGGCATTAGCTCGGCCGTTTGATTCCTTGGTCGGGGGGGGAATGCTGGCGGCGTTACACGGATCGCAAATCATCCTGTTCTTCTTGGACACGAGGCCGATTTGCTCGGCCGTCTTGGGAGGCTGCTGGTAGTTCCACGAGTAGACATTCTCGGAGCCGATTCGGTCAAACTCGGCATACATTTTGGCAGACTCGACGGCGCTCTCTGCCGCCGACAGTCCCCGGTGCGCACGGCGGCCATTTTCGTACAGAGGGTACACATGGATCGGCAGGCCCATGGAGTGCAAGGTGCCGGAGCCTAGGAGAGGCCGCATTAGACCACATAAGACGTGTGCCGTACGATGCGCCGACTAGACCTACTCTCTTTGAGGATGGAAAGGTCCAGAGATGCCAGCTGTTTCCCGTTGGGATCAGGCTCGAGCCAGCCCTTGGGGGGGTTTTCTCCGGCTTTTTGACAGGCAGCAACTGCGACGGCGAGTTAACAAACACGGTTCCTCGTTTTTTGAGGGGGGCCAGACGCGGAAAAGACTTGCGAGATGCCAGCGCCTCTCCTCCCGTCAAGACGGAGACGAGGCTCCTCCGGGCGGCAATGTCTCGGGCGGCCTCGTCGCATTGCAGGGCGGGTTGGTTGCCGCCGTGCTCGCCCAGGACGCGGCGCGTTGGCTTGATGCCGAGTCGATGGGAAATGACGCCGGGCAGGTCATTGTACGCCCATGTCCAGGTTGGCACGACTCTCAAGCTGTCGACGTGCGCCAGCAGAGACTCCTGGGCGGCGTGGTCGAGTCCGCTGTCGTCGACGGCGCGGCGAACAGCGTTGACCATGAGCTGTGCCGGCTCGATGGCGTCTTCGACCTTGAACGACTTGTTGCGCACGTCGCCCACGCCCACGATGATGGGGACCGCCGGTTGTTGCGTGGCCATGGTGCCGATGCCGTCTCGGGGGGAGTGAAATGGGTGCAAAAGACCAGCGGCTTGTTTGCTGGTGGAGAGGAATCTTGTCGAGGTCAACGTGGTGTTTTGATGCTCTGCTGGCTGGTAAACTGTATTGACGTATGTAGCCGGCAATCCCATGTGCTGCCGAGTGTTCATTGTCCCAAGTCCAGCCTCTCGGCCGACCAAAAGTGGTTGCCGGCGGGGTTGACAGTTGACAGACTGCCGAGTCTGGCCTGGTCTGGTCAATTCATGATTGAACATTGACGGAATTGACCCGCCGGGCAGCCTCTGAATATTTGGCCCGATAGTCCGATCAACCCCCAGTGCCAGCTGGCGCGTAGCTCTGAGCCGGAGTTGGGGCGGCTCCCGGCAACCGGCCCAACATTGCATGTACATACGCATCAACATTTGAAGGTACATGTACAGTCGATGCTGTACATGTCAAGTAGTTACAGCCACTCGGCTCGCAACCAGGGCAAGACTCTCGCATCATTGATCCCTTTTCTGCACAACGCATCACGTCGTCGTCCTTATATATTCTCGACTTGACATTTCCAGTTCTAGCAACCACAGTCGACTCACTCTTCTCTCCACGCACCCAGCTTGGTCTGTCCTCACCATGGCGCCATCACTCGCCTCACAGCCCCCCGAACTGTCCTTTTACGAGCTCAGCTTCCCCGCGGAGCATGTGCTGCTGGTGACCATCAACCGCGAGTCGCACATGAATGCCATCCCCATGGCCGGCCACTGGCAGGGCGAGCGGCTGTGGCAGTGGTTCGACGACGAGCCCCAGCTCCGCGTCGCCATCGTCACCGGCAAGGGCACCAGGGCCTTTTGCTGCGGCGCCGACCTCAAGGAGCAGGCGCAAAAGCAGCACGCCCTCGAGAAGCCCGACGCCCCGGCCTTTCCCACCGGCGGCTTCATGGGCCTCACCACGCGCGTGGGCAAGAAGCCCGTCATTGCCGCCGTCAACGGCTTCGCCCTGGGCGGCGGCTTCGAAATCGCCCTCAACTGGTACGTCTTCTCTTGTCATGGACGGCTGCGCGGCCACCCCCCTTCAAGGTCCTTTTTTTTACTCACTGTCCGCAGCGACATGGTGGTTGCCTCGCCGTCGGCCACGTTTGGGCTGCCCGAGGCAAAGAGAGGTCTCTGGGCGGCGGCCGGGGGCATCCCCCGCGCCGTGAGGACGTTTGGCATGCAAATGGCGTCGGAGATTGTGCTTGCCGGCCGCGTCTTGTCCGCCGCCGAGGCGAGGGACGCGGGTTTCTGTCGGGTCGCCGCGTCGCCGGGCGCCGTGGTGGCCGAGGCCGTCGCGCTGGCCGAGGACGTCGCGGCCATGTCGCCGGATGCCGTTATCGTGAGCCGTGCTGGTCTCAGAGAAACCTGGGAGACGGCGAGCGTCGAGAGAGCAGCCCAACTGGTCCAGAACAGATACGCTAGGGGTCTCTTGGAGGGGGAAAATCTACGTCTGGGCCTCATGGCGTTTGTTACCAAGACAAAGCCAGAGTTTGTACCGTCAAAGTTGTAATAATACATGTAGCTGCCAATTCTGTCCAGAGTGTTTATCACGGCCTCGACTACGCGTGAAAATGGGATGCAGTCGGCGCCGCCAAGCAAAAATGAAACTTCAATGTTGTGTCGCGTAACACAGCCGGCTACACTGAGACTGGTTGTACGGACAAGGCACTGGGATGTTGGTCTGCAACACCCCGGACGCCACTGAAGACGTCAACCAGTGCTGGTGCCGTATCTGGTACTCAAGGTACCAGACATACACAATTGACATTGTACTCAAGTGCTACTACGGAGTACGGCCGTCGCTAGACACCGGGGGCCGAGGCTCTCGGCTGTTTGGACCGCGTCAAGGGTCAATTGATGCGGGGTCCGGTTCGTTGCGGAGGGACTTGACCGAGTTGACGTTCAATGTTCTGCTCAGCTGCCCAGGCACCAGGGTAACTACAACACCTGGTAGGGTCAAGTTTGATGGTTACGTTGACCCTATTGGTCACTAGGAGAACAAGGATAACGAGAACAGAGGTCAACTAGCGTCTGGGGGTGGATCGTGAGTTACACCAGACAACATTGAAGCTATGTACGGAGTACAAGTTCCTGATGGACTCGCTTCCAGGCGGGAACGGCACCGACAACATACACTTGACACATGACTGAATCGTACCACCGCCTTCGTCTTCTGGGCCCGAAGAGGCTCATCATGTTGCTCATCACAATGACTAGCGCCTTTTCTTCGACGCTTTTACCCCGTGGCTGATGCGTGGTGTTTTAATACACCAACACATGGAATGGAGCCTCACGTAGTATTCTTATTGTCGTCAAATACGGGGCAGCCTATAATATCCGGGGGCAAGGGATTTGAACCGACGGGTTTCTCAACGTATGGAAACCTGTTTCGCAAGCCTACACCCAACCATTATTATTCGGAAAGCTCGCAATTGGATATAGACACAGCCTCGTTGGGTCATCTTGTCGATGCAATGATTCTATTCATCTCAGTAGCCGGCTACCTAACTAGCAGTGAGGCTATTCCCAGTCTCTCCTTTGCGTAAGAGGGAAAACCGTACCCGGCCATGTACTAGTGAAGTGGCCGAGTCGGATGAAAACCCCTACCGCACAACTCAATCCTTGACGATGCATCCGTCTGCGTACACTTTGCCTACTGCTGCTGCTTGGGAACGCCAAGAATGTCATCCATCTGACTATGAATCGAGTTGAGGTCGTTCTCTAATTGCTGTTGTTCCGGAGTATACGTCTTGGTGAGCTCCTCGAACTTGGCATCGCCCTGCTTCTCCAAGTCCAAAAACTTGGCCTTCTTATCGCCCTTCAAGGGCTTGTCGTTGAAGTCAAAGATCTGGTCTCCGCCGTTGTTGGCGCCTTGAGGGGCCGCCAGGGCAGATGCGGCAACTACATGTGTCACAATGTTAGTTGTCGGTTATCAATTGATGGGAAGAGCGGAACATTGAAGGCGGTGGTGACGCACAAGCCAGAATAGCAATAGCAGTGAAGCGAACCATGGTGAAGTTTGCGAGGGGGTTGGTTATATAGAAAATAATATGGTATAATAGTTTTGGAGAATAATCAATACGGTAGCCAGACCGAATGAATTAACAAGCAGAATCGAAGATGAACCGAGTGTGATGTAGTGTGATGGAGTGTTGTGAATGATGTGCTTCTGTGTGCTTGCGAGCTGCTCTATATATACTCGGATGCACAACTGACAATGCGTTGCATGACGTCGCAAATTGTCAGCAGACTCAGTGTTTGGTGTTTACTTTGTATGAGACTTTGGGGCAACGCATGTTTCAGTCGCGGCTGCAACATGGAAAGATGACATCGCAAGGTTCTGCTGGGTAAAATGCGTACATGGAGACACCTTGAATCATTCGGTTCGCAGGGGGCTTCGAGCGCAGTGACCGAATGGAAAAGGCTGCTCATGTTCCAACGAGGCAGGCTGATTATTGAGCTTTACAATTTCTCCTTGTTCGCGAGGTCAACTGCGTAGCTTTCTTCCTCTTTTCCTTCTTTTCCCCGGGTGCGGTGTAAACACCATCTAGTTTCTGCAGGGGCAGAATTATATCGTTGATGATCTTCTCATGCCAATGCATTTCTATAGCCATTGGGCATGCACGAAAATCCCCCAGACGACGAAAAGCTAAAACACCAGGCGAGTCAGAAGCATACGCCGAGTGAGAAACCCACGTTTGTCCTTACGGGGCCTTCTGACGTCGCAGAAACACAGCGCCCGGCTTATTACGCCGATGATTCATGGTGTGCTGAGTCGTGAAAAGTCCTGTTTCTTGACGTTCGAATCGAGCTTGTTTCATCTTCTGCGGCGCAGATCACCCGCATCTTGTCGTTTGACACTGGTACTTGCCTGGGGGTACGATCTGACAACGTAAAAAGAAGCAGAAAAAGGACAAGTCCTCACAAAACTATCAGCTAAAGACCAAGACTTTACCCATCAATGACAGGTGCCGTCATAATTGAGGGCTTGCACGATCCTCACCCGCCAAATGCCTACCGAACACGATCTGGTTGGTAGAGAACCTCGATGCAGATTGCAAGTCAATGCTTGTACTCCAACACAGTGTTTTGATATTCTCCCTTGCATCTCGTCTTTGTCTTTCTTTCCTTTAGCCGTTTTCCAGAGGCTGTCATTTGCAAGCCATCTGTTCCAACAACACCGCCGTCGCATTGTCACAACGCACCAGACCCTGTATTTAATGCATGCCTCCACTAAGGCATCGATCCCGTCACGGGGATTGAGTACGGCTTCGGATTTGCCGGCGCTATATCTGTTGTGTGTCTCGTTCTTTACTGAATCCCTTGCCTTGGGCGTTGCTTCACGGCATCGGGGTCGAATTGGCCATGGCAGCCAAGTACCTCATTCCAAAAAGATATTTCCACAAAAGCATGTGTAAAAAGTTGTATAATGTACAAGTTCTAAAACTGAAAAAAAGAAGAAGAAATGTACGACTCTCGCGCTGTTGGATACATGTCACATTGCCGTCCGGTATAGGGTACATGCACCAGAGAGAAATGGACGCAACAAAAAACAACAACGTGGATAAGTTACATGCTATGCAAGCTCATCTACCTAGGTATCTTTGGTCTTACACAAAAACGACAACAAAGCTACATGCTGATTATGCGCGCGCAGCCTCTAGGCGCGCAGTGCCTCCAAGACCCTTTTCCCCATGGCCAAAACCTTCTCCTCCTCCAACCGCCGCGCCACAAGCTGCAGACTAATCGGCAGGCCGTGCATAGTCTCAGCGTCGTCTATTGAATGTCACATAAGTATGCATTTTTTTTTTTTTTTTGGCTTCTTGCATCGCAAACTAATTTGTTCTTGGGGCGGTGGGAGATACTCACAGTCACCATTGATGGCCTCGCAGTCCGAGCCGAGAGGCTGGTATAGTTCCTCAATGCGGTCAATAGCCTTGTCGACAGCTAGGCCGGTCGGGAAAGAAAGGCACGAGTAGTCGAGAACGTTGAAAACACCCGTGTACCCGACTGAAAAAAAAAAACAACATAAACACGTTAGCCCAACACGTTTTTTTGCTCTTCACCACCTCTTGGCCCCCTCGTCGGCACCACCTACCATGCTTAAAGGAGCCGTTCTTGACGGTATTGAACGGAATGGTCGGGCACAAGATGGCATCGATGCCGGCCCTGTTCCAGCGGTCCAGGTAACGGTTCTGGAAGTCGACTCGTTCCAGCTGCAGGTTCCACATCTCGTACGTCGAGAGCTCCTTCGCGTTCCTGTACTGCTCCATCTCCGGTCTCCACGGCTCGCCCGTCCTCTCCAGCTGTTTCCGGATGGCCGTGCCTCCGTCAGCGACAAACATGCGGCCCAGAAGCTCGAGGCCTTCCTTTTGGTCAGCAGGGTCCCATTCCACCACGTCGTGCCCGGCCGCCTGGAGTTTGGACACGACCTCGCCAAGGGCACGCGTCACCGGCGGGGTCGGGCGGACCATGTTGTCGTGCCACATGACGGCAATCCTCAGCCGGTTGGGAAGCTGCACGTCCCGCCAAGGCATGGGCAGGCAGCGCGGATCCAGAAGCCAGGGCTGGCCGTCCACCACGTTCTTGGTGTACATGGTGATGTCGTCGAGGGTCCGCGCCATGGGCCCGTTGACCGACTGCACAGCTTCCTGTCCCGGCATCCCGGATCGCGTGTTTCTCACGGGGAACCGCCCCGAGGATGGGCGAAGCGTGAAGATGCCCGTGCAGGCGGCGGGAATGCGAAGCGAGCCGCCAATGTCTGACCCGACGCCCATCGGGCTCCCCTTCATGGCGAGAAGCGCAGACTCGCCCCCGGAGCTGCCGCCGCTCGTCGTCTTCCTGTTGAGCGGGTTGACCGTGCGGCCGAACACATTGTTGACGCTTTCCGCAATCATCATGGCCGTGGGGGTGTTGGTCTTGACGTAGAAGACGGCCCCGGCATTCTCCAGGAGCTGCGCCAAAGTGGAATCCGCCTTGGCTGCGTCGCCGACGAGAGACACGAAGCCGACGGTGGCATCCAAGCCCTCGAGGTTGAAGTTGTCCTTGAGAGAGATGGGCAGGCCGTGGAGAGGACCGACAGGCTTGCCGGTCTGCTCGAGATGCCGATCCCTCTCCTTGGCAGTCTTGATGGCGCGATCAAAACACGTCTCGGACAAGCAGTTTGTCTACAAGGGCAATGCGTGTTAGCAATGCGGGTGCATCACGGCATCTATATGCGTGTAACATACCAGCTGATGGGCAGCCGCAGCTCTCTTGCAGAAGGCCCTCGTCACCTGCTCGCAAGAGAGCTCTCCAGACGCAAGCCTGGGAATCAGCTCTGTCGCCGATGCGTTTGTAATGGCGAGCTCCTCGGCCGTGAACCACCCACACGTCTCGGGCCACGAAGTCACGTCATCTTCAGTCTCGGCGGGTAGCACGTCGGCCGGAATGAGCCATTCCTTGGGGATGGACGCCAGCAGCTCTTGTCGCTTCCTGGCGCCAATCTGCTCCCAAGAGGCACGACCATTTGTGCCGTTTGTTGCATTGACGGCGGTTAGCGTGGCTGACGTCATTTTGGTTGGCAGCGCAAAAGTGAAGCCTCTCGCCTCGTGCTGCTGTCGCTGACGGTGAGGGAAGCAAAAATGCCCACTTTGGCAGAGGCAAGGACAAGAATAACCCGATCGTGTTCAACGAAGCGGACCTGTACTAATTCCATGCCGCGGCCTCGTACAAAATGGCGGAATCAATTTATAAGAAAGACGGACTGCTGCCCGATGGCGGCGCGTTGCACAGTCTTGGTTCAAGTCGGCGTGCCAGGTGCCCCATGCATCAAATGCATCAATGGCAGCTGAAGCAGCGAGACGCAGAAGCTTCAATGTCGCCACCCCCAGATGCCCTGGTGCTATTTCGGCGGGTGCGTGCGGGGTGCGAAGGGGCATCTGGCGCCGAAGCAATGCCGTTTGCCCTTTTTCATAGTCAACTTGTACCAATGAGGCTATGAAGCCACTGGGTTGGGGCTGGCTGGAGTCGTCGGAGGGTGGAGGACACCGACCGAGTGAAATAGAATGGTTTCCTGTTATGGCAGTGTTTTGGAAGTTCCACACAATGGGCGACGGTTATAGTCAAGTCAGGTGGGAGCGACGGGTATGGCGTCCGAGGTAAATGGCGTTCCACGGACCTGGAGTCCAGTCCAACAGCCGATGTCACCGGCCGGCGGGGAACCGGGTGCAACCCCCGGGACTTTGGGTCGTGGCTTGCAGTCCGGTGGTTAATCGCCTGGTCATGCATCTTTGTTGACCGTTGGGCCACGCCATGAGACTTACTTGGTGGCGCTGCCTGGTCAATATCAACCATCATCAACTCTGGCGTGGTCAGCGTTGAGCGAGCGACAACCCGTGTACTATAGTCTTCATGTCCCGAGGCTCACAACCAAGTCACGTCGAGTAATAAATAAATATGAGTCTGTGCACCAGGGCCAGGGGCCGCTTGTCGAATATCTGGCGAAGGGAGGCTAAATCATTTGATGCTTTTTTTTTTTTGAGCTTCTTATCTGTCCTTGTATTTAGAGTCAAGTGGTAATGGGAATTCAACGTTACTCAACACGTCCCGTCAGTCCTCTAGCTCTCCACCGCTCTTCGCATTTTGCCAAACCATCGGGGTAACGCTGGACACCTGCATGATTGCAGTGATGCCAGTATGCACGTAGAATTTGGCATTGACGCGTCGAGGTGGCGTGCATGCCGGCTAAATATGCCGATACGGCTAGGTGAATATAGTAGATGGAGGATGGCGTCATGCGAGAAATCAGTTGGCAAGCACGCTCAACGGCCGAGTTCATGGCTCTCTGTGCATGATCATGTGCTGTGTCCTCAAGCTGGGCAAGCACCGCAATCGCGGATGCACATCTGTTGACGTTGGCCGAGAGGACCCAGGCAGACTCGTCCGTGTCGATCTTGGCAAGCTGGTCCATGGCTAATATACAGCAGCTCAGGGCATCAGTTGCGACTTCGCCCTTGGCCACCCGGCTAAACAGATCAAACGTGTCTGCCGAGCAGCCTACAACCTTAAAGATGCTTTGGTCGAGAGTCTGCCGATGCCAGTCGTCAAATATAAGACCCTTACTGCCTCTGGCAATGGCGCCGAGTGTGTCCCACCAGACCAGTCTGGCAACAATCTCTGTCAAACCTGTTACGGTGTGGGACAGCTGTTCCAAGGCGGGCGGATCGGCACAATGGTAATCTAGAAGGGATTTGGCGCCGTGGAGATGTCGCTGCCATTCGCCAAAAGGACTGTCGCACACTTCTAGCACTGCAAAGGCAGCAATTCCCAGAAAAGCAAAGGGGTTTGCGGCCTCGAGAGCCTCGTTGAGGCCAATCAAGGCGGCAAGGCGGTGGCGAGCCGTATCTATCGAGTCCCACATGTCCCCCCCAGCAAACGGCCCGGCCAAGCGGCCCTCGATACGCGCCTTCATCAGATCGTGCAGCTTGGAGATGAGTCCCACAGCCTCGGACGAGAGATAATGGCCATGGTCTGCCGCTGATCCGTCTGATGATATAATGTGTTGGTAAAAGGCGATGAGACTGGTGATGAAGCTGTTTCGGTCTGTGGCGGGCATGTGACGCAGCTCCAAGACGGGACTTTCGCTCTTTGGCGCAGCGGCATCGCTGGTTGGCGTCTTTATCAAGTCTTGCTCTGGCGACAAGGCATTGCCGTCGGACAGCTTCGACCTGGGCTCTCTGCGCTGCCTCTTGGACACCTTGGTGGCATTTGACGACGACGACGAGGCCGAGGGTGAAGCCAGAGATGAGGCTGGGCTGGAAGCTGAAGCTGGGGCTGCCGAGGGAACAACAGCGTGAGAGTCCTTGGCCAAGCGATCCGCGGCCCAAATGACGCGCTGCGGATATCCGCCGCAGGTGATGTTGGCTTCAAGACATTGCGAGCATGATGGGCGATTCAAGTCGCACTTGATGTTCCTCGACTTGCAGCTGTGACAATCCCGGTCTCGGCGCATTCCACGCGGCTTCCCGCGTGGCTTCACCTCCACCGGTGGCACCATGCCTAGGAAACACGTACGGGCATCAGGCGCCGCCGGTGGGTTTCGTAAAATATTGACAGCTGGTGCGCGGAGGGGGAGGTTCAGGCTGACGAGGGGACCAGAATATCCATGTTCTAGTTTGGTCTCATCCTAGGCGGCAATGCGGGCGCTGGCGGTCAGGCAAAGGGCGCTGCGGCGAGAGGTGAAAAATGTCGCGAGGCGACAGAGAGATGGAGGAGAATAGGTTCGTTACTGGAAAAGGAAAGAGGCCATTTGCGCAATATTTAGGGGAGGAAAGAGCGACCGCGGGACCGGTTAAATATTGCCGGGGCAGACAGAATCAGAGGCGGACGGAGAAGAGGAGGGAGGACGTGGGAGGCAGGGAGGACGGGTGGACCAGGAAGGAAGGAGACATGGAGGATACTAGATAGAGCCGTAGGATGAATACGGGGGTGCTCCATAGAGGGCTTGGGCTCTCGTGCGCTTGTTGGGCCTGTTGGATGGCCATGATTTGCCAGGCATCCGTCCTCATCTCGTCAAGTCTGGGGTGACGCGCAAAGCTTGACCGGTGCGCCACAGTTGGTTTGGCTTGGCGCCTGGCTGCATTATCCGCGCGAGGGAATGGGAGCAAAGCGACAGTCTGGGTCAATGGATAGGCATGAGCCTTCAATGTTGTGTGATTGCTCATGTTACAGCACCGTCCCCTGGGGCCATATGAACTGGTGCCTGCACCGACGTTGGACGGGCTAGACATTCCCATGCGTGTGATTGCTCACGTCAATGGCAGCAGCAAAGTCGTCAGCCCGAGCAATGGATACCACATGTCTCTGCTGTCAATCGTCTGCTGTTTCAAGTTGCTTCTGCCAACGGCGAGAGCTGCAATTCCGGACGTTGAGCTAAGCACCTTCCCCTGGTTCATCGCCACGTTTTCCCTAATGTTACCCCAGACTCTCCGGACCAGGGCCGCGTCGGAGGTGCCACCATCCCAGACAAAGACCAAACCCTTTTTTTCGAGCCGTTTGTGGCGATCCGACATTCGGCACACTAGACCTTATCACCCCCTCCGGAGCTAGTTACGATATGACTGACCGTGATAACTCTCGGTTCATTGTCGAAGCGACGGTATGGCGGCAACGGCCAACGATGAGGCGTCGAGTAGTAGATGGACCTGGCGATAAAGTAGCAAGCACTCGAGGGCGTTGGCCTTGCGTGGCGGCTCTGGGGAACGCCATTATATCCCAACTAGGCATGCGATCAAATTTGTACCCCAGCCTCGAAGGCTTTCCCCTCATGCCAAGATGGCTTCATCGGGAGACGACCGGGTCCTGGGTTGACGATGCAAAAAGCTGGAGTCTGGAGTTGAGTGTCTGTCCTTTTACGTCAAGTTCTGCAGCACGAACTGGTGTCGAGATTAAAAATTTAGTCTTCTTGGGTCCAGCCAGCCAACAAAAGCGGGACCCAGCGCCATGCTTAGCAGCAGCCCCACTGAGTCAATGGGCACCTGGAACCAGCTGCCACCTATCTGGCCATGTGCAGCGCTCCAGCGCCTCAAGTGCCGCCTGAAGTTGGATCAAATTGATGCTGCGCGGGGTGCCATGCCAACTGGGCCCTGATCCTCCATGTCAACTCTGCCAGCCTCCAGTCTACGCAGCACCATGGCATTCCAAACCGCCATTCTCGGCCGCAAAGTCTTTGCATCCATCCTCCCCCATTGCACGCGCCGGCGAGGATAAAAACTCCTTCGTCGCCGCATCCACCACGACAATCCGGGGTTCTCCACCTACTTTAAGCAGCATCTAGACATGTCTTGAATCGCGACATTTCTGCTGCGGCATTGATCCATATCGACTCTTGGTTCTCTGTTGCCACGTGCGTCTCCTGTACCAGGGCCCCTCCAAGCACCAGCCAGTCCAGTCTGGTGGTACCACACACGATTGGCCGTCATGGCGTCATCACGACTTCGCGAGTACTTCCATGTACAATATCAGCCCGGAGAACGGAAGCTCATCCAAAAGATTGACTTCTTCATCCTCACCTTTTGCTGTCTCAGCTACTTGGTCAACTACGTGAGTGGCGACGGCCCGTGGGGGTTGGTGATTGCTTCGGCACCAAATGGTTGACAAATTCCTTTACCATCTCTTAGCTCGACCGCAGCAATCTTGCCAACGCCTACGTATCGGGCATGAAGGATGATCTTGGCTTTGTGGGCAACCAGCTTAATGAAATCAATACCTGCTTCACCGTTGGGTACGAAGACGCCATCTGCCCCGGCGATATTCTCCATGTCCCGTCTCCCGCCTTCAAATTGACTGACACATTTCGCAGCTATGTTATTGGTCAAGTGCCGTCCAACCTGTCCCTTCACTATGTCAAACCTCGCTTCTGGTTCCCTGCCATGATGATTCTCTGGGGGGGCCTGACCATGGTCACTGCGTCGGTTCACAACCCGCAGTCCATCATGGCCATACGATTTTTCCAGGGCATCTGCGAGGCCTCAACCTTTGTGGGCACGCACTATATCCTCGGCGCATGGTATACCGAGCGCGAGCTCGGCAAGCGCAGTGGCATATTTACTTCGTCCGGATTGGCCGGCACACTCATTGGCGGTTTCATCCAGTCCGGCATCTACAAGAGCCTCAACGGCCGTCTTGGACTTGCCGGATGGCGATGGCTCTTCATCATAGACGGCTTGCTCACTGTGCCCGTGGCCATCTACGGCGTCATCTTCTTCCCCGACACGCCCCAGACAACCACGGCCTTTTACCTGACCGAGGAGGAGAAGAAGCTCGCCATCTCCAGGGTCCCAGAAATTCCCGAACAATCCCCCATCACCCTCAAGTTCCTCAAAAAGGTCGTGTCATCGTGGTACTGGTGGGGCTTCGTCGGCCTGTGGTGTCTTGCCGGTGAGCTGGAAAGCTTCAGCACCAACTCCCTCCTGGCTCTCTTCCTGCAAAACCACCCCGTCAACAAGTATACTATTCCTCAAAAGAACAACTATCCTACCGGCGTCCCCGCCGTCGGCATCGTGTCAACCTTGTTTTGGGCTGCGCTGACCGATTTCCTCGGCGGAAAACGCTATCTTGTTGGATACTTTATCGGCGCGACCAGTATCGCCACCTCCATCATGATCTTGGTGTCGTCGCGGGACCCCGAGAATCCGCACTCTACGACCGTTACAATGGCAGCCTACTACTGGGCAGGTTCAGGTAAGCTGATGCCGTCTGTCCTATACCGTCTACGCAGAACGAGACACTAAACAACCATGCAGTCTATGCCTGCCAAGCCACCTTCTTCGCCTGGTGCAACGACGCCATGAGATATGAGCAGGCCACCTTTCGCAGTGTTGTTCTCGCCGGCATGAACCTTGGCAACAATGCCGTCAACGCATGGTGGAGCATCTTATTCTACGGAGCATCAATGGCCCCATGGTTTATTGTAAGTCGGAGACGTGCGCCTACATATACATGATTGACCATGGCTGCTAACCTTTGTCATCCAGCGAGGCATGTGGGCAATGATTGCCTGCTCTATTGCGCTCATCTTTTGGACTGTCGGGCTATCGTGGCTGGATCGCAGAAACAAGAAGTCATCGGTTGTGGAGGTTCATGAAGCAGAGAAAAAACTTCAAGAGGCTTAGGTGAAGCCCGTGTGGAGTCGATGCTGAATGTTGGTAATGAAATACTTGTATTGCTGCGCGTAGGATAATTCGGACCATGAGATGGCTATATAGGCAATAATAACTGTAATCGATATCAAGGCTCGTTGCAGTCATCTGTACATTGACGCTGAGGCGGTGGTCGTGGTGCCTGTGAGAGGCAGCACATGGTCCACTCGAGCAGTCTGGTGCGCCATGTCCACATCTCATCAATTGATGTCTTTTGTTGAGTCAAGGACATGTAGATCCAAATCTCTGCTCTCACTCAAACCACTGCTCCAGACATGACTTTTCAAATGGGTGGCAATGCAACAACACTAAGCACTAACGCTCCCAATGGCAAGACAAGCCCCATTGCTGGGTTGTTGCAACCAGTCGTCATTCCATGTTGCTGCTCCAGACTGGTTCCGCCCAATCCATCTCATCGACCTGGCTGTGCGCTAGAATCAACGTGTCGGGTGCCAAGGCTTGGTTGGTGGAATAAATGTCAACGTCAGGCACCATGGTCATGGACGCGATCTACCTGTCAGCGACGAAGTGGTCTAGTCCACTTAGTTGCCAACGGGTAGAGTCAAATTAAAAAATGGCAGTCTAAGAATTGCCGTCATTAGTGAACTAGTCATATTTGAACACATTTGGGACTCGCCGTGTTTATATCTAGTCGGGCGCCGTCACATATTACTGTTCGTTATGCCATGCACATTCGCCCTCTTACATGACCTGTCAACCACGGTAATACTACACAAGACGCGTATCAATTTTTCACCAGCATGTTGGCCGTCTACCTCGGTTTCATCGGCACCGCATCTGCAGCCATCAACTGCCGGGGCAGTTCCGCATGCGCCTCTGACCCCGGTGCGTCTGTGGAAACGATCCAGGCCCAAGTTCACACATTGGTCGCCCAGGGAGGCGGAGACGGGATATTCGAGGCACAAAGTACGTACGGGAGAAATCTCATCTGATCCCATCCACCTGCGCGCAGGCGCTCGCCAAGAGGCTCGGCACCAGGCGTCTGCTAACCGAGCAACAGGGCCAATTGCATGTTCGCAAGGCAAAGACGGCAGCTTCTGTGCCTTTTTCCAGAACACGTCCGGAACCGGCAGGCAAGCCGAGGCTCTTGTCCAGAAGCTCCTCGACCGCGGATGCAAACGTTGTGGCTCCGTGGCCACTCACCCTGGCAACGATGTGTCCGCGGGAGCCTTGACTGTGAATTTCGTCAAGGAGCCGTGCTGCAAGGGGGACTGCTTCTGCTCAGGGCGGGGGGCGAGGATTCGAAAAGTGGAATGAGTTTTGCCAAAACAGGCGCCTTGCTTGGGCAGGATCTCGCACTTTATGGGCCTGGCGGAGCGAAGCGGTATTACTGACTCGGGTGACGACGGCACGGGTTGCCCATGGCCAGATCTGGGCACTGGGTGGTTGCACACAAGTCTTGCCATCATGTAACTAACCACGTCTGTGAAGATGGTTACGGAGTACTCTTGTGCCAGCTTGCAAGGGTCTAGATTACCTCCTATCCAGGAGCCAGTCGAGATGCCTGCAGCCCGGTTCTTCAACTTGCTAATTTCGTGATATATCGAGTCCCTTCCACATCCATCGTCCACCAGACTTCACCCCGTCGCCCGGCTAATATGATGTGCGTCCGCCAAAACCGGAAATGCGAACAATCATGAAAGCCAGATTGCCAATCTATGCCCTGGACATGCCCTCCATTGATTACAGTAAGCCAGCGTTACAACGATAACCTTTGTGAGACCAAAACTAGTAATATTTGGTGACTATCGTACAGGTGTAACTATTATAGTGACTAAGCCTAATACCTTTAATATTGTGTGAACCGCGACTATCAATAATTT